TTAAATGGCAATGAAGATTACCTATTAATTGTCATTTAAGTGAAATTACTGAACTTAAACATACAAGTTTGATAAAAATGATCATTTTAGAAGAAAATTTCAAATGGCATTTAGAGGCTTTTGCATCTGAACTCTTCAATATATATATATATATATATATACACCATGTCATGTTAAAAATAATATATACAGTAATCAACATTTGAAGTGAATCAAAACCTTTCATACATTTTGAACAATAAACATTGTATTACCTGATTATTAATTGTATCACAACTTTGAACTTTTTTGATCCTCTTCAAACGTTGACTACTGTAAATTATTTTTAACAACATGGTGCTAAAAAATACTATTGCCAGGATATGTGCCAAAAAGAACTCATAACATCCATAAATGTATTAACTACTTAAGTCGTTGTAACTTATATTTCTCCTTTAGAAATCATCTTTATATACCATATCCTGAATGTTTTAGACTTAAGTCCCTGGATTGTCTTACAATTAATTTATTTGCGGTGTTTGCATTTTTTAGCTGATATTTTATGCATTATCTACTAAATATCCCATCTTAATATTTTCACACTGCAGTTGCACCGTTCATGCACCAGGGGTGCGCAAGTGAGCAGACTCTAAACCCCGCCTGCATTCCCTCCCCCTGAGCTTGCCCCTCCCACTTCCTGCCGCTCTCCCCGCCCCCCGTCACACCACACCCTGCCATCTGGCACTGAGTCACCCCTCGCTCGCCCCCCTCTCCTCTCTCTTTGCTCTCATTCCTTCCTTTCCACACAAAAACAGGATGAAGGGCCCCTTTCAGCTCGAGGTTACCCTCGGCAACCGGAGCCCTGGAAACTCCCCGAAACACACACACACAATATGATGGGCATTTAAAGTTTAAAGGGACGGCGTCTCTCGTCAGCTGCTGCTGTGTTTTACATTTAAATCCCCAAACAACGAACACCTGCTCTGTTTCTTTCTCTTTCTCTCCTGCATCTGTCTCTCTTTCCTTCTTTCTTTGTGTCAAACTCTCAGAGCTGCATTCCTGCAGGCTGCACTTTTACTGGGAGAGTTGTTTTCTATTAGATTACTGAAGTATGTAGTGTGTGTGTGTGTGTGTGTGTTTGCTGACGAGTACATTCCCTTTCTCTCAGGAGGAGAAACATTCTTTCCTTGAAGACTGCGTTTAAAAGTGCTGGCGTCGCTTTAAAAATGTGAACTGATCGGATTCTCGGAATGTTGGAACGGATGGAACAAAAGTTTCAAATTCAAAATCTGTTACTTTTGAATTTGAAACTTCTGTTCTATCCATTCCAACATTCCGAGAACTGGTTGCTGCTGTAAATCAGGCGTCGTGTTTATAACAAAAGCCTCAGTAAATGTAAGAGATGACTGATTGATTCCTGAATAAGTGTCATTCAGGGGACTTTAAGACCGTTCAACAGACTGTTATGAATTCAAGTTTTAGTATAACGTTTAATATAAACTGTTCCCCATATTTCAAAACTCAAACTCTCTGAAAGAGGAAAGTTTGGTGTTTTGCAATAAGTTTAGTGTGAGTTTAGTCTGCAGTGTGTGTGCGCTCCACTAGAGGCGCCAGCGCTCCACCATAAACTTCTACAGGACAAAAGAGGCTGTCAGCAATACACTAAAAATAATCTGGAATGAGAGAGAGAGAGAGAGAGAGAGAGAGAGAGAGAGAGAGAGAGAGAGAGAGAGAGAGAGATGAAAGAACAAAGTTCCTCTTTGTGTGATTGTATTGAGTTGTGGTTGGTTTGCCGATGAGGTGGAGTTCACTTGCTTGTACTTTAACATGCTGGACGTCTGTGTGTGTGTCTCTCTCACTGTGAACTCCATAGCATTAAACTCTTGCCTTTTATGGGAAAAGAAGTGTGTGTGTGTGTGTGTTTAAACTGAGATCAGGAGTTCCAGAAACAGCAGACATGATGTCTGTGCCTCTCGCTCGACTATTAAACACAGAAAAACAATCATTTTAATGGAAGACAGACAAAGAGACGGACAGAAGTGGAAAGACAGCTGGACACTTACAGAAATAACCACAAGCTTTCTGGTGTGTGTGTGTGTGTGAGAGAGAGAGAGAGAGATAGTTTAGGGTGTTTATAGTTACTCTGATCAGAAGAGAACATGTGACCAAACCTCCCTTTAGGAATAGTTTCATCTTTTGGATTTATATAATATTATGTCATTGATATGTCCTCATTTTGAGGTGTGTGTGTGTGTGTGAGAGCTCTTTTGTATGATGCAGGCTGGATGCCATGAGAGGAAGATAAAAGCCAGAATGGATGAATAGACCTCAGGCAATACACAAATACAAAAGACAGCAGGACATTTACAACACAATCCAGAAACAATAACATTAAAGAGACACACACACACACACACACACACACTTGTAAATGTAGTGTTAATGTAACACAGATGTGCTGTTGTCATGCTGCAGTTTTCATTTTGACCTGCAGAGGCGCCATTGGCTCATAAATGAGTTTTAGAATCCCGTCTGTGTGTGTGTGTGTGTGTGTGTGTGAGAGAGAGGCCAGCAGCCATTTTGAATACAGATCCCATTTTATGAATCACAGGCAGTGATTTGCAGAGGCTATGGCTGTGTGTTCACTGGCTGAGCGCATAATCAATCACACACACACACACACACACTGACAGACATTTCAGATCGCATTATGCTGTTGGCGGATTCATGGTCTCGCTATCTAGTCCTCACTCTCTTTCTATTTAGTTTTCCTTAAAACTTGATGTTCATTATTTATGAAGCACTTTTCATGCACAATGTTGTTCTGTGCTTTACAGTATGGCACTTATAAAATAATCATAAATTGCATAAAAGTGCAAGAAGTTGCGAGTATATTAATTCGTAGGGATTTTAAAAGTATTTGTTTATACATTTAAATATAGTTAATGTGTTCTAAAAATATATATCTTGGAGTATTTTAAGAGATTAAGTGAATTCAACATAATTAGAATAAGTTAAATTGACAGGCAGGAGATTTACAGGAAGAAACGGTGAAAAATACATTAACGAGTATACCAGAAATCCGTGTCCTTGTGTGAAATAGCTTATAAATCATAATACGTGATGCTTTTTGAAAATGTAAAAATGCAGAAAGTTTTCTGTGATGGGTAGTGTTGAAAAACATGCAGTTTGTACAGTACACAAATCACCGTGTTTATGGAAAGTCCTCATAAAACTCAACGTGTGTGTAATGTAATCTAGAGCAGTTTCACTCTCTTAAGCGTTTCCATATGCTGCTGTAACTCAAGACACACACACACACACACACACACACACACAGATGCCAGAGACAAATGAGGTACCGAGACAGAAAAGGCTGAAAATGGAGAGACATTAGAGAAGGATAAAGGACAGACATGGACAGAAGAGCACAGGCCAGATTGCAGATAGAGCTGAAGATGTTTATCCGATCTTGATTGTGTTTCATGTGTGTGTGTGTGTGTGTGTGTCCGTGGTCCTCTGGAGACTCGTCAACAGTGTGAACTTTAGTCTTCACGTTTCATTGAAGCTGTTGGACGTTTGACTCTCCACCCTGACATCTGACCTCTGACCTCCTCCTGCTCCCTTTACAGTCTGTCTTTAGAACAGAGATGCCAACACATGTGTGTGTGTGTGTGTGTGTGTGCAGAGTTCTCTTTCTTTTTTGGATTAGATATTTCCTTTGATCAGATTAGTCCAAAACATTTGATTTAGGAAAGAAACAGATATTTGATGCTCATATGAATTGCTCATATATGCCTCTAGACACAGAAGGATTGCATTGGCGTTTGATCGAAATTGAACATTTATGCAAAATAAATTAGAAAAGTTTCGAGGATTAAAGGGATACTACACTTTTTTTGTAAATAGGCTCATTTTAACAATAACATTAACATTAACTGTCTGGTTACTGATATTCTTCTAAATATAAGAAAAATCGTCTGAATGGATTTTAAAACGGTAAAACTCAACTGTTTAACTCTGGGGGAGTGTTAAAATGAGCCTATTTCCAAAAATTATCCCTTTAAGGCCATTACTGTTTGGAATGCAAATGTGCAGTTGGGGAAAATGTAAATGTTTCCCCCGAACCCCACTAGACATATGAATTTTCAAAAAGCCTCTCAATTAACTTCAGTTCATAACTCCACACGTATGATAATCATCAAACTATTAGAAAATTGTTGTTTAAAGCAGTATTACATGACGTGTTGACATAGACACTGATTTCACTGCTTGACGTGCCTCATCATATCCCCAAAAACCCACGTAACCTGTATGAGACTGTGCGGAAACATCATTTCAGCATCTTAAAGGGATAGTTCACTTTGAAATTAATTTTTGGTATGTTTTATCTTACCTCAAGTACATCTAAGATGTAGGTGTCTTTGTTTTTGCAATAGTTTCAATTTTGATGTTTTTAGGTCAAACCGTTCTTGTCTGTCAGTCATATAATGGAGGTCTATGGTCACCACCTCAAAGAGCATGCACAGAGAAGTCCAAATTAAACATGATTTAATGACTCGTAAATGTAAGTACACATTAAAGGCCTAAGACACGAAACGAGCGGTTTGTGTGAGAAAACGAAGAGTTTTTATATCGTTTTTACCTCTTGTAACCACAGCCACATTCAAGTTACAAGAGGTAAAAACGATATAAAAACTCTTCGTTTTCTCACACAAACCGCTCGTTTCGTGTCTTAGGCCTTTAATGTGTACTTACATTTACGAGTCATTAAATCATGTTTAATTTGGACTTCTCTGCATCCTCTTTGAGGTGGTGACCATAGACCTCCATTATATGACTGACAGACAAGAACGGTTTGACCTAAAAATATCAAAATTGAAAATACTGCGGAAACAAAGACACCTACATCTTGGATGCCCTTGAGGTAAGATAAAACATACCAAAAATTAATTTCGAAGTGAACTATCCCTTTAAACACACATGAGCACTTACCCCCTCTCTCTTTTGTGCATTTCTAGTTAAGAAAGATCAAGAGGGATCAGATGAGAAGAAAAACGCTCAGAAGAAGAAGGTGAAGGAGCTGAAGGTGCTCGACTCCAAAACATCCCAGAATCTCTGTGAGTATCAGCCAATCCATTCACATGAGAAATATCTCACTAGTTTAACAGTCATGTATAGTGTTGTGTGCTCAACTGTGTGTGTGTGTGTGTTGCAGCTATATTCTTGGGTTCAAACAGGATGCCTTATGAAGAGATGAAGAATGTCATCCTGGAGGTCAACGAGAAAGTTCTCTCTGAAAACATGGTGCAGGTATGAACGAGTGTGTGTGAAAGCGCTCGTATTGATCTCGTGGATCTTTGATGTCTATTTGATATTAAAGTTCAGTTCATTTCTAAACTCCAGTGAACCACACAACTTGAAAGCAGGGGTCAGTTCCGTGCTTCTGGACCGGCCTAACTTGAGGAAGCAAACTGATTAACCTGTTAACATCTGATTTATGTACAACCAGACGGTTTAAACCCGGTCAGGATGATCAGGACCCTGACGCGAATTTACACAATTATGATGATCATACGACGCCTCCTCGCATGCTGCTTTGTCGACGGCAGCCGCGATGCAACACTGGTGGCTTGTGTTGCCAGATTGTTTTTTTCGCTACATATTAAGGCCTGTTTACGTGTGTTTTAGCCGGGTTTTAGCCTAGAAATCTGGCACCCTATAGAGAGCCTAAAACCCTCCCCTTCCGGTCGACCACCATGGGACCTTATTTCAGAAAAATATTGTATGGTAGTCAATGGCGAGAGACAACAAATATTTTGATCTGGTTTGAATTGTGCCCTGAATTACACATATGATGTTTGTCAATTTAAAAGATACATTTTAAAGTAAAGAAAGTCGCAGTTTGATGTAAAACCGTTGAGGTATAAGACTGTGAAAATATGTAATTACTAGGGATGGGCAACGATTAATCCAAAATAAGAGTTTATATTTACATAATATATGTGTGTGTGGTGTGTATAATTAATTTGTATATATAAATACACACACATGCATGTACATATTTAAGAAATATTTGCACTATATTTATACATAATTAATATTATATAAAAATAGAAATATTTGATATATTAATAACACATTTTTCTTAAATATACACATGCATGTGTGGGTATTTATATATACAAATTAATTATACACACTACACACACATATATTATGTAAACACAAACTTTTATTTTGGATGCGATTAATCATAATTAATCGTTGCCCATCCCTAGTAATTGCAAAGACTACAAACCCCAAAGGCGCACATTTTCTCTCAATGAATGAAGCTAATTTTACTAAGGCTAACGTCTGTCATTGTTTCTACAGTCTTACGTTATAATCGTAACGTTACGCCGTCACGCCTGAGTCCCAGACCACACACACACGAGCAGCGGATCTCACTCGTTGTTTCGTTTCCTGGGAGATGTAGTTCATCGAGCGATTTTCACATAAAACTAAATGTTACTCTTCTGTTTTATGACAAACTGCGACGTTTTTGACTTTCAGAATTATCTTTTAAATTGACAAACATCATATGTGTAATTGAGGGCACAGTTCAGACGCAATAAAAAGATAAGTTGTCTCTCGCTATTGACTACCACACATATTTTTTTCCGAAATAAGGTCCCATGAGCCGGAAACGTGAGGGGCGAAACTGAGAGAGGGTGCGTTCACAGACACCAGAAACGTTCATCAGGCAGTAATAAAGTACGTTCAGTTCACGTTCGCCCCAAAATATTTAAAAAAAACTATCGTTCTGGCACAACACTGTGGTAGGCGATCCTAAATGGACAAACCCGGTGAAACTGGTGTCTTCTTCTCTAGCGGTAAACCGCTTGTGTGTGTGTTTCAGAGTTTGCTGAAGCTGCTGCCGGAGCAGGAACAGCTCAACACATTAACAGAGCTGAAAGATGAGTACGAGGAGCTGGCTGAGTCGGAGCAGTTCGGAGTCGTGGTGAGAAACACACACAATACTGACTTGTCCAAAACACAACCACACAGAGACGGAGACTGAGAGCACGTGTGTGTGTGTGTCTCCAGATCAGTTCAGTGAAGCGTCTGAAGCCCCGTCTGAGCGCCATCCTCTTCAAGCTCCAGTTCGAGGAGCAGGTGAATAACGTGAAGCCTGAAGTGGTGGCGGTGACGGCCGCCTGTGAGGAGCTTCGCAAGAGCGAGGGATTCGCCAAACTGCTGGAGCTCACGCTGCTGCTGGGGAACTTCATGAACGCAGGATCGCGCAACGCCAAAGCTTTCGGATTCAGCATCAGTTACCTGTGCAAGGTGATGTCCTGATCTGCTCACATTGACAAATGCCACTTAACTGTCACCGTCCCACAGGTGGGACGCTTGACATTATATTTTTAGAGCAATAATATCTTAGAAAAGACCTTAAGTAATATTGACAAACTATATATCATTTGAAAGCTTACAATCTCTACTGATTTTCAAAATAATTTACACAGGAGACGTAATTTATCAATTTGCAACAAGAATATTTTCATACTCATAAAGCGTGTTCAGACCTTTATTTTGAAATAGCAATTAATATGAAAAATCATGAAAAAAAAGTCAGAAAACTCAGTTTGATTTCATGCCAAAAGTTCAAAAGATAGCATACATTAAATTATTTTTAAGAAAAAAAGGTTTGAAATATTATGAAAAAAATATTTGTGTTATGGCAATAAGCTATAACGCGCATGCGTGTTCTTTGTATGTGATTCCTAGAGGTTGAATTCATATCAAAATCTGCCAAACTTCCCATACTACTTCTGAATAGGATTTCTACTTCATAAATTGTGTGAAATTTGTGAAAATAATGGTTCATATCACTCAAAACACATATAGAAATGAAGGCGCCCTTATATGGGCTGTAATGGAGTCTGGTTGTGCCCTAGTGGAAGCGTTCAGTACTGCGCCCAAACTAAATTTCACTGAAAGCTCATTTTTTTGAGATATCAACCAAAAATTTGAAACACAACTTGTTCAGATTTTTGGCTTTGATTTTTCTGCAGTTTTAGAGTAGCCCAGGTTTTGAAAATATATATATTATATAAAATATGAATAATTTATTTTTTTTACATTGTACGTTTCTATAAACTCAAACTTCTATAACTTTTTTTCTGTTTCACTTTCTTGATTTATTTCACTTCAAGAAAAATCTGCCAAATGCATTCTTTAAAACGAGACCAATCTTACATCTATATTCCAAAGCATTCTTGAATTACAACCATTTAAGTTTGAAATGAGCATTGCCATGTCTATTCAAAAAAACAGTTAAGAGGTTAACACATTCGTTTAGAAATCAAGAAATCAAAAAAGGGCATAAAACGTCCCATTTAACTAATGTTAACAAATGGAAGTTTACATTGTTACCAACATTTGTAAAGATTCTCTCTATTGGATGGTTTTGTGTTTGTGCCTTTTATTGTGCAAACATTGTAAATTAATTGCTAGTGAGAACACATTTTGTACCTATTTTGTAGAAAGTGCCTGATGTGGTAAACAAATGTGTGTATGTGTGTGTTTAGTTGCGAGACACTAAATCAGCAGATCAGAAACAGACTCTCCTGCACTTCCTGGCGGACACATGTCAGGAGCAGCACCCTGAGGTCATGGCCTTCCCAGACGAACTCATCCACGTGGAGAAAGCCAGCAGAGGTCAGTCTCAGTCCCGTTGTGATGTCACTGAGCATGCTTTCCTTATTCTATATACACTACCATGCATTTTTTAAAAAGATATTAATACTTTTATTCAGCGATGATGCATTAAATTGATGCATTAAAGTGACAGTTAAGACATTTGTCATATTACAAAAGATTATGTTTCATAGTTTCGACAAAAATGACGCATCTTTTTCAAACGTTGATAATAAATCATCTTCATATTATTATTTCTGAAGGATCATGTGACCCTGAAGACTGGAGTAATGATGCTGAAAATTCACAGTTTACAGTATATTCACATAGAAAACTGTTCTTTTGAATTTTGAATCATAATATTACTGTGTTTTGATCAAATAAATGCAGCCTTGGTGAGCCTAAGAGTCTTCTTTCAAAAATGGTCAAACGAGATATGTTTTTTTATGTCTCTCTCTTAGTGTCGGCGGAGACGCTCCTGAAGAATATAGATCAGATGGGAAAGCAGATTAAAAACCTGGAGAAAGACATTGAGACGTTCCCCCCTCCGCAGAGCGACAAGGACAAATTTGTGGAGAAAATGACCATATCCTTTATTCCCCCTGACAGGAAGTGTCACTTTGGTTTCCACTGTCATTTCTGCAAAGAATAATGTTATATAAATACAGTGTCAATGACCCATTGTGATATCACATCCTGTTTGGGTTCTAGTTGAAGTGTGCCGTCCCGCGAGCGTCCTGTGAAGTTCATCCATTAAGGAAGTTTGGGAGAATGTTTGTTTTAGTACTTGCTCTGTTTGGGGAGATACTTCAAGCCCTGAACCACAATGGAAAAAATAAATAAAAAATCGAGCATTTCAATAGAAAATGTAGAAATGTAGAAATGTTTTGATATCAAAGTCAAAATATTTCGATATTAAAGAAAAAATATTTTAATATTAAAGTAGAAATGTTTTGATATTAAACTCAAAATATTGTGATATTAAAGTAGAAATGTTAAGAGATTAAAGTTAAAATATTTCAATATTAAAGTCAAAATATTTCAATATTAAAGTAGAAATGTTTCGAGATTAAAGTAAAAATATTTCGATATTAAAGTTAAAATATTTCAATATTAAAGAAAAAATGTTTCGAGATTAAAGTCAAAATATTTCGATATTAAAGTAGAAACGTTTCGAGATTAAATTAGAAATTTTACGATATTAAAGTCAAAATATTTCGATATTAAAGTAGAAATGTTTCGAGATTAAAGTCAAAATATTTTGATGTTAAAGTAGAAATGTTTCGAGATTAAAGTTAAAATATTTCAATATTAAAGTAGAAATGTTGCAAGATTAAGGTAAAAATATTTCGATATTAAAGTAGAAATGTTTCAATATTAAATTCGAAATATTACGATATTAAAGTTGAAATGTTTTGATATTAAAGTTGAAATGTTTCGATATTAAAGTCAAAATATTTTGAAATTAAAGTAGAAATGTTTCGATATTATAGTCAAAATATTTCTATATTAAAGTAGAAATATTTTGATATTAAAGTCAAAATATTTTGATATTAAAGTTGTAAAGTTTCAATATTAAAGTCAAAATATTTCCATATTAAAGTAGAAATGTTTTGATATTAAAGTCGAAATGTTTTGATATTAAAGTTGAAATATGTCGATATTAAAGTCAAAATATTTCCATATTAAAGTCGAAATGTTTTGATATTAAAGTCGAAATGTTTTTTTATATTAAAGTTGAAATATGTCGATATTAAAATCAAAATATTTCCATATTAAAGTCGAAATGTTTTGATATTAAAGTCGAAATGTTTTGATATTAAAGTTGAAATATGTCGATATTAAAATCAAAATATTTCCATATTAAAGTCGAAATGTTTTGATATTAAAGTCGAAATGTTTTGATATTAAAATTGAAATATGTCGATATTAAAATCAAAATATTTCCATATTAAAGTAGAAATGTTTTGATATTAAAGTCGAAATGTTTTGATATTAAAGTTGAAATATGTCGATATTAAAGTAAAAATATTTCCATATTAAAGTCGAAATGTTGCAATATTAAAATTGGAATGTTTCGATATAAGGAGAATAAAGTCGGAACATTACGATAATACAGTCTTCCATAGAGGTGTGTGCATTCATTCATTCATAGTGCACGTCCACTGGCTCAGAGAGAGATATAAAAGCTGATCCCCGTATAAGTGATGTTGAATTGTGCAGTGTGTGTTTTTCTTAACGCGAGTCCTGTACAGTTTTGTTTCGGCGGCTCGTGAGCAGTTTGAGAAGCTGCAGCTGATGCACGAGAACATGGAGAAGCAGTACGAGGATTTGGGCAAGTTCTTTGTGTTCGACCCCAAAAAGATGAGCCCAGAAGAGTTATTCGGTGACCTCAACAACTTCAGGACCATGTTCCAGGTGAGATCACAGCCCCACAGAAGACTGACCGGTGTTTACCTTGGATAAATACGGAAGCTTTTGTTCCCAAAATTCGGATACTTGCGTGTTTGCATCTCACAATTGTGACTTTATGCACCTCATGTAGCAGCGCAGAATAAAGCTGTTCTGTGATTGTGTGGACACTTCTGAATAGAGCCAGGCCGATATTATCGGCCGATATTTGGCATTTTCCATAATATCGGTATCGGCAGTTATAATGGCCGATAAATGAATATTTAAAAAATAAAATGAAAACGGACGAAACACGCTTTAATCGTCTCTCCTTGGCCTGTTATATTGAAAATGTATGTTTTACAATTTGCAGTATGATGTTATCTATTGCTAAATTATGGCTCATCATAGACTAGCTAACCACAAAGCTAGCTAATGCCACTATCATCAGTGGAAGACCGCTAATGAGCTTGGAAACCACAATGAACTTTTTCTGCCTAAATAAAGTAATGATTACCGTATTTATAACTAGCATATCTCTAGTTACAGTCCCTGCATTGTAAAATGTAAGTTATACTTGCGAGGAGTGAACATTTGGACTGAGAGAAAAAGTATCAAACAAATCTTGTGTAGAAAAGTGAGCTTTTCTTTTACACGTGTGTAAAATCCAACAATATTTAATAAAAAAAAATATAGGCCAATATATCGGAATATCGGATTTTAAAACCCAGAAATATTTGTATCGGTATCGGCCTTCAAAATCCTTTATCGGTCGATAAGCTGAATAACTCTAAATTCAGATTTTATAACTCGCAATTGTATGATTTTAACTTTTGTATCATGATAGATGTCTTTACTCTCACTTTGGATTAATTGAATCCACCCTTGCTGAATAAGAGCATTCATTTATTGTAAATTAAACCCCAAATTTTTAAACCGTAGTGTATTGGTATTTCTGTGCAGAATTTAGTAGTTTATATATTACCAACATGTGTGTGTGTGTGTGACATGGTTCAGTCATCAGTCTGTTTAGTATATTAAAACAGACGTTTGTCTAGACCTCCTTGCATTCTCTCTGTCGTAAAGGGAGCAGAGACTCCATGTGAAAAACACACACACTTTATGATCTTATCTGTCCATCATAACGCTTTATTACTTTATATTCTCCTTCAGCTGCACAAACAGAAGAAGATCTGAATCCGAGATCTCCAGTTCAACTCTTCACCTCTCTGCATGCATGTGCTTTTTTACAGCAAGCGGTGAAGGAGAACCAGAAGCGGAAAGAGGCCGAGGAGAAGATCCGGCGAGCCAAACTGGCGAAAGAGAAAGCGGAAAAAGAGAAAGAGGAGAAACAGAAGAGAATCAACGAGGGAAAGATACTCAACATTAGTGATGGTAAAGATTCAGTGTGTGTGTGTGTGTGTCTGAGTGAAATTGACATACTCTCTCTCTCTCTCTCTCTCTCTCTCTCTCTCTCTCTCTCTCTCTCTCTCTCTCTCTCTCTCTCTCAATTCAATTCAATTCAATTCAATTCAATTGAGCTTTATTGGCATGACTGTAAAATAGCACAATATTGCCAAAGCAATAGTAATATATAAACATATATGTAGATAAATAAAGATAACGTTATCTCTCTCTCTCTCTCTCTCTCTCTCTCTCTCTCTCTCTCTCTCTCTCTGACCTACTTTTCTTGTCTGGCTGTAGTTTAAAACTTTTGGGGCAAATTTCCATTCTCCTTTTTACTGCAGACCTGTGTACGTGTGTGTGTGTGTGTGTGTGTGAGTGTGAGTGTGAGGGGTGTTTTGATAGAAAAAAAGAGGTAATAAGGTCCCATTTGTTAATATTAGTTAATTTATTAGCTAACATGAACTAAATTCGATCAATATGTTTACAGCTTTTATTAATCTTTGTTGATATTAGTTCATAAAAATGCAGTTTTTCATTGTTCATGTTAAATCATAATGGATTATCTTTTGATAGTTTTTATGACTTTTATGACTAAAAATTAATATTAATTAATGCTGTAGAAGTATTGTTTATTGTTAGTTCATGTTAAACAATGTTGTTATTTCTCAGTTATTAATTTGTTTGTAATTATATAATTATAAAATACAATTTTTAGTACTTATTTATTATTTTTTTCTTTATATTTTTGTTCACTTAAAATTATTTTTCTTTCAGTTTAGTTTTAGTAACTTTAGTACTTTAACTTATTTGATGAGTGAGATGCCAAGGCAACATTTCTCTTTAAGTTTAAGTTTTTAATCTAGTTTTTATGTATGTATATATTTAATATCAGCTTTATTATGCAAGTGCCGTGCCACGAAAACTGGTAACTTATGAGGTTTGATTTGCATACAGGTGGCTGATTTGAAAGTCAGTTGAAAGAACACACACACACACACACAAACACACACACACACAGAGAGACACAAGTATGTTCTTTCTGGAAGACTATAGAGATCTGCATGCATCTCTCTCTCTCTCTCTCACACACACACACACACAAACACACACACACGGTTCATAGAATTCTCAGGGTTAAATATTTTAAATGTTTGGCCTCGACATTCCCACATTCTCAAACACACACACACACACACACACGTTATCTTTAGTTTAGCAGTTAAACCCTGAGGATTAGATAAATAAAAAGTGTTTCCCACATTAGTCTCCGCAGTTCCTGTGGGCGGTCAGTAGGTGTCAGTGTTGAGTGACAGAGTCTCTGTGTGTGTGTGCAAACAGATGTCCGACAGATGTCCCGGTCAGTACTGTGACGATGCTCATAAGAGTGTGTGTAATGGCTGATGATGGTGTAATGCAGCTCATGAGGGACACTAAAGCGCTTCACTAACACACAGGGTTCAGTTGTGTGTGTCCTTTACAAAAACTGACTGTGGTAAAAATAGAGTTTTTCCACTAAAATACCCCATAGAATTAAACTGTTAAAATATCAAGATTTATAGTATGATCGTGTGTGTGTGTGTATCAATAAAATATATATTTTTAAATATTAATTAAAATGTATTAATTCTAGATCCGTTTAAGTAATTTCAAATTATAAAACGATAATAAAAACAAGTTATATTTAGATTTGAACGCTATATATTTCACTTGGAACACTACGTGTCTCTGCAGTTAATGTTGCATCTGTACAATTATAATAAATTAACATGGTACCAAGAATTTAACATTAAAACTCGTATTTTTCTATTTTCCAATAATATTATATGTATTAATATAATATATACATTTAATATGTAATATGTAGCAGGGAGAGAATCTCAGCAGATCAGATGTGCTGTTCCTATAACACACCTCATGGTGGTGTGTGTGCACTGCAAACCGCTCTCTCTCTCTGTGTGTGTGTGTGTGTGTGTGTGTGTAAGAGAGAGAGAGATCTAGGTTGTCAGGTCAGACACATAACCATCTGGCTGCAGATTTTCTGGGGATTACAGTGAGACTAGCAGTGTGTGTGTGTGTGTGTGTGTGTGTCTGTTTGGGCTGCAGGGTGTTTTCTGCAGGTTTTGGTGTGTGTGTGTGTGTTTATTGGGGGGAGGTGTGTGTGTGTGCTATGTGTGTTTATGGGGGGAAGGGAAATTAGATCCATAAATCTTCAACCCCATGTTGTCCAGAGAGGATGTGATTGAAACCATATGTCTACACACACACACACACACACACAACACATCCCTGAAGTCATTCACCATATCAAGTGAAATCAAGCCGCATGCTTTTAACAAAATATTTTACACAAACAAAATGTTTTCAGAGCATACAGTCCTTTCCATCATGTGTGTGTGTGTGTGGTTCAGTTATGTAGGTCAGCAGTGTGCATCAGTGTGTGTGAGCTAGGGGGCGCTGTCTGCTGTAACTGCTGTCTCTGAGGATGTTTATATTCCCATGATCCTTTGCTCCTCTCATCTGATGTCACTGTGGCTGAGACTTGCTCTCTGCTTCTACAAATCTGCATGTGTTTCAGCAGTAATACATCATGTGTGTGTGTTTCAGACAGTGATGATGAGACCGTTATTGATGTGTAATATTAATAGTGTTTGTGTGTGTGTTTCAGATGGAGATGAGACTGGTATCATGGATGGTCTGTTGGAGGCGCTGCAGTCTGGAGCCGCTTTCAAGAGGAAGAGAGGACCACGACAAGCAGGTAACACACACACACACACACACACGCATGCATCGTTACAGTTCATTTGTCAGATCTGCAGTAATTTTTGGTATTGAGGGAACACAGAATGTTGAAAAGTTTCAAACTTTCAATAGTGAAAAACTACATAGAAACGGGACACACGGGTTTGTGGGATTGATTTCCAAGGAAAGCATGATGAAATGTGTCATTTAAATTCAGTTTAAGTTGCTTTGGATAGAGTGTCTGCCCAATGCATCGATGCAAACAGTATTAGTGTTTTTACAGTAGCATTCAAAAGTTTGGGGGGAAAAAAGTTAATACTTTTATTCAGCACTCTAAACGTAACATTACAAATACCTTCACTCAAAAATAAATCTGTAAAATAACTGGTAGCTAAAAAAATACGGCATGTTACTGTTTTGTTTTTTTTAATTAACAGCTAAATACCATTTTGTCTGCTATATGCTGTTAAATTACAGTTTTATACTGTAGCTGACAAAACGGTATTTAGTTGTTTAGTTGTCAAAAACAGTAACACACCATATTTTTTTTACAGTATGATGCTAGCAACCACAACTGCCAGTAGTGTACCTTTTTTTTTTTACAGGATTATTTTTTACAGTGTTTCACTATATTACTATTTTAAAAAAAAACATGTTTCTGGTCATCAAATAATTCTGGAAAAAAGTATCACAGTTACAAGCTGCATTGATAATAATCATAAATGTTTCTTGAGCATCAGATCCTCATATTAGAGCGATTTCTGAAGGATCATGTGACACTGAAGACTGGAGTAATGATGCTGAAAATACAACTTTGATCACAGGAACACATTATATTTTAAAATATATTACCGTATTTCACCATATTGCAGTTTTTACTGTATTTTTGAGTAAATGAATGCAGACTCGGTGATCAAAAAGACTCTTTTCAAAAACACAATAACCCAAACTTTTGAAGGAAAACATGAATTCAGTGTGTTTCATAGATAGATATATAGTTCAGATTTACAGTTGTACACAAATGTGTGTTTTATGTTTCCTCTCTTCACTGTATTTTAGACTGTGGAGCAGTGGTGTGTGTGTGGATCTGTTGTTGAATGAAGCCAGATGTGCTGCTATGTGGCAGTGATGACCATACACACACACACAAACCCCTCCTCATTCCCGCACTTTTAGTTTTTAAATTCAGTTTCATGGCAAACTCTTTTTCTGTTTTCACCCCTTTATTCCTCTCTGCTCATTTTTTACCTCACCATCTTATATTCCCTCTCTTTCTCTCTGTTTATTTCTCTGTATCTCTGTTTACTTTGCTGCTTCAGACTCTATATTTTTCTTGGAATCGTGTGTGTGTGTCATGAGTCATCAGTGGTGTTTGGTATTTTTAGCTTTTCTGAAGCAGCCTCCACACAAGCTATGTTCCAAATCCTAGTGAGCGCCCTACCTAGACAGCATGTTAAGGCGTCCTCGATGCATTAAAGGTCGGAGTTAGTGAGTTCTAGCCTTTGTAGATGTTTCAAATAATTTAGTATGCTGCCTTTGAAGGGAGCTGCCTATGTAGGCGGCTACACTCGGCACATGTGACTCAACCCCTCAACATATGCCACACACACATACCAACACACCCATTCTGACCACTTGTGTGTTCTGCATATGTATGCGTTCACTCAAACACACACACACACACACACAGTGTAGATGCCTTTAGAGAGACCGCAGGCATGCAGTGTGGAGACAGGAGACGCCCTGTAACCTCTGACCTCTGACCCTCCGCATAATGAGTCATCAGCCAATCAGAGAGATGCTGAGCGACGGACGGCAGCTGCTGCTCGACTCGCTTATAAATTCACAAAATACATATAAAAATATGAATGCGTTCATAAAAACACCTCATTATTGATATAAAGCTCTGTTTAGTATATTAGAAGAAAATAATCCAAAAATAAATATAGTAAGAAATTAAGATAAAATATATATAATTAAATGTTCTATAATAAATATGAATCTAATTAAATACTTAATCTAAAAACAAAGTTTGCAGTATATGCAAATATATAAACATTCTTAAATCAAGGTATTATTTACTAAAATATTAAGTCTTGTTTTCTAAATAAAAGATCAAAATTAAGTGCTTAAAACAAAAATATGAAGATAAAATAAACAAACACATATCATTGTAATTTTTAAAAAAACATACACATTTTATTCAGAGGCACAAACTGATCAAAATTATGAAATTTAGTGCAGATGCTGATATTTATATGGCAAAAATAAGTCTCATGAAATTCAAGCAGAAGGGTGACGTTTCACTATTAAAGAAACAACTTTGTCATATGAAATATGATACAGAAGCTCTTTAGGGCAAACACAATCAAAACAGTCACACACTCCTCATGGATGTTAGTCAGGATAGACACCATATTTCATTTTGAAGTGAAGAAAAACAAGGCTGTGACAGATGTTTCCAGACACTTTCCAGTGGTCAAAAAAGTGTGTGACCGTTTTTTAGGTGTAATATTTTTTTTAAAGTACACACTAATCCGAGGACATCTCACATGCTATTTAGGACTGAAAATATGCAAATAGGGATGTAGCCGGTGTGGGTGTGTCCGTTTTTAGGCTCTTCATTAATATACACACATCTGCTGTGTCATGACCCCACACACACACTCCTGACTCCTCGACGAAAGACGCACACTTCAACATAAAAGACGCACACAGACTCATACAAAGAGCCAGAGACGCACCCTGTGCCCAACACACAATATCACTTTATAGAGACACCAAACTCTGCCAGATGTCCACAAAACAAACACACACACACACACACACACTCCTTTGTCCAGCTCACAAACATTGAGACAGACACACCCTCTTTTTAACCATCCTACGGAAAGACCAACACACACACACACACACTCCTATTGTAAGCAGAACAATACCACACACTTAATCTTGTTAGACGCAACACTTTCTCACTTGTTTTTCAGTACAAATATATAAACATTCTTAAATCAAGGTATTACTTACTAAAATATTAAGTCAAAAGATCAAAATTAAGTGCTTAAAACAAAATGGAGTACGAAACAGTCATTTTCACTTTTTTGTTTTAAACATAAACACATAATATTGATGCGTTTTTTTAGAAAACAAGATTTAATATATTTTGTAATTTTCCTTCCTAAGTAAATGCGTATCGCTTTAAGAGTGTTTAGAAATGTATACAAAAAAAGGAAAATATTAAATAAAATATTTTTTGTTGTTTTTTTGGTATACATTTATAGACACAGATAAACATCATATATATATATATATATACACACAGTATATATATATATATATATATATATATATATATATATAGAGATAGAGAGAGAGAGAGAGAGAGAGAGAGAGAGAGAGAGAGAGAGAGAGAAAGAGAGATGATTTGCTGCAGTGCCAGAGGGAGCTCAACACTTCCTAACACTGTGAAATTATTCTTATTTTTAGCTTCATTATCTGTGCTCTCTTTTTACACCCAGACTGTCTGAATCAGTAAGTAAGAAGTGTGATGAACAGTTCTGTTCATTAGTTTAGGATGAAAAAAGACGGGACAGGCGAATGACAGGAGAGTGTGAAGGTGGCAGAGTCTGTTCAGATGTCGATCAGTCATTATGTGGGACATTTATATAATATTTACTCTCGCTCACTCTTTCTTCACTAGTTATAGAAGTTTGTTTGTTTTCTGAAACATTGATCAGAATTAAGTGTGTTTGCAACATATATATATGCCAAAGGGATAATTAAAAATAATCTTTTTTTTCCCCCAAAATTACATTTTCTGACCCTGCATTGGTTGATATTTTTCTTGTTTTAAAGGGATAGTTCACTTTAAATTGAATCTTTGGTTTGTTTTATCTTACCTCGAGGGCATCCAAGATGTAGGTGTCTTTGTTTCCACAGTAGTTTCAATTTTGATATTTTTAGGTCAAACCGTTCTTGTCTGTCAGTCATATAATGGAGGTCTATGGTCACCACCTCAAAGAGCATGCACAGAGAAGTCCAAATTAAACATGATTTAATGACTCGTAAATGTAAGGACACGTTGATGGCCTAAGACACGAAACGAGCTTACGTTTGTTCCTCTTGTCAGATCACTTGGACGTGGCTGTGGTTACAAAAGGTAAAAACGATATAAAAACTGTTCGTTTGTATATTAAATTCATACACTGAAGACTACATAGTGTTTTAAAGTTTAACTTGATGACTATTTTGACCACTTATTCTATAATCCAATTCTGTGTTTTAAATTGTGCAAATAAATTCTGCATAGTAGCACATCTCAAAATTAGGAAGATCACGACTCAGATCATGGATTGTGATTATCTGTTATTAATTATTCAAGATCGGCAACCCCTACTTGAATGGGATACTATTAGTATTTAATGAATAATAAACTAGGTTCAAATTAGGAAGAGAATGTGTTTTAACAAAAAAAAAAATCTTACATGCTTCACCTTTAAACATCAAATATGTTCTGATCGACTGTTATTGTGCCTTTGCCAAACTAAAATATGATGTAAAAATAGAAACGTGGCATCATTTTATTGGTATTTTTCTGAGCTGTAAAGGTTTATGGTCGCATCTAAGCTATAATCATTCACAGCCATAACGACTTTCTCCTCAACAGACTCAGTGCTGTCCTTATCACAGCTCACACTGGACACCTGCTGGGTAACGTGTGTGTGTGTGTGTGTGTGTGTGTGTGTGTAGCTTCCTCTGCATGGTTGTGATTTGCATACAGGCTGCATCATATGAACGAAATATGACATTCTCAGACAATATTCTCATATGAATGTGTCACCGCAGGAGTGTTGTTCTGCATCTGTAACTCGAGTGTTTAACTAGTGTGTATGGTCTCTTACTGATCTAAATAAACCAGCACCAGCGCACATAAATGATGACATGTATGATATCCTACAGCTCTCTCGTGTCGGGATATTAATCTGATGGGTGATTATAGGAATATTTCAGGTTGTTTTCAATTATTAAAGGAGTAGTTCACTTTTAAGAAAACTTTTGCTGATAATTTACTCACCCCCATGTCATCCAAAATGTCCATGTCTTTCTTTCTTCAGTAGAAAAGAAATGAAGGTTTTTGATGAAAACATTACAGGATTTTTCTCCATATAATGGACTTCAATGGGGTCCAAACGGTTCAAGGTCCAATTGAGAGTTTCAGTGCAGCTTCAAAGGGCTTTAAACGATTTGAGACGATGAATAAGGGTCTTATCTAGCGAAACGATTCATTTCATAAAATAAATACAAAAGTTTAAGTTTTATAAGCACAAATGCTCGCCTTGCTCTGTTCAAGGCAAGAGCAAGGCGAGCATTTGTGCTTATAAAACTTAAACTTTTTTATTTATTTTCTAAATGAGTGATCGTTTCGCTAGATAAGACCCTTATTCATCGTCTCAAATCGTTTAAAGCCCTTTGAAGCTGCACTGAAACTCTCAATTGGACCTTGAACCGTTTGGTCCCCATTGAAGTCCAGTATATGGAGAAAATCCTGGAATGTTTTTATCAAAAAACTTAATTTCTTTTTGACTGAAGAAAGAAAGACAGGGACATCTTGGATGACATGAGGGTGAGTAAATTATCAGCAAAAGTTTTTTTTGAAAAGTGAACTACTCCTTTAAGCTTATTTTGTATTATTGTAAAATATGGTGAGTTTGTACGAGTTCATTAAATTTGAAAATAACCAGAAATGTTCCCATAAAAAGGTATGTTGTTGGTTGTTTCGGTTTCACTTTAATTGGATGGTCACTTTAACATGTTTAGTTGACTTGAGTGTTAGTAGAGTATTAGTAGACTGGTATGGATAAAGTTACTTCTAGTCAGTCAGTGTAGTGTCTGTTAGAAGATCATCTCAGATATTAAGCAGACGGTCTACTGATACTCTAATGAGAGATGTACTTGCAAAGTTACTTATAGTCAACAATGTTTAAAAGGGACCATCAAATTAAAGTGTTTTTGACTCTTAACACCGGAGTGTGGCCTTCCCAGCATGACGTTTGATTGTGTGAAACCGAATGTTATATAATTATTATTATTTAGACGTTTATTTCCCATTCTGTTTCAGCCAACAATCGTCGAGGAGCCGGTCATGCCGTGACGAACCTTCTCGCCAAAGAGCTTCTTCAGGAGAGCGGCCCGTCCAGTGCCACGAAAAAGACCCGACCGAACACGGAGGACAGGAAGGACTCGACTCCCGAGGACACGGGCTCGCTGGAGGATCTGTTAGATGACGCTCCGTTACGGTCAAATTAAACACTTCCTCTGCTGGTCCTGCTGGACAAAAGACACAATGTGTTTTAAGGGACCAAATCTGCAAGGGCGGGGCTCTCGTTAAGCCACACCCCCTTGAGTGAGTCCATACGGCTTCCTATCGGCCGTCACACAGGAGGAGCGGTTTCGTCGTTTTCTAGCCTCTTTCACTCTACACACAAGATTCAAGATCTGTTCATCTCTCATCCGCTTTTTGCAAGATTCCAAAGATTTGTAAATAGATTCCAGAATGTTTCATTCCATTCCAAATTCCGCTTCCTGTTTCTTTTCAGAACACTGTTCCGCTTAAGCTTTTTTTGTTGGTTGTTGACTTTGAAACATATCACGTGGCTGAATGTTTGAAACGAGTTGCGTTATTGTTCTCGAAACGCACCGTGCCAATAACGTCGAGCCCATAAATGCATGTTCGGTTGGTGTGTGCTTGAGGTGTTCCCACTGAGGTCCTGTAGGCCATCACGAGAGTTAAAGAAGGTCTGGGACCTGTTCACGAGATTAGTTCTCTCTTCTGTCGTTTAAATCTCCAGTCTAGTCTAAATCATTGCATTGAATTAAATATCACAGTTTATGCAAGAACAGTTTTCGGGTCGACTCGATAAAAAGTGACTTCACCACTGTTTTATGAAATAATTGTTTGCGCTGCACTGCCTAAACTTTCACACACACGGGTTGGTGAACGGCGGCTGTCAGTTTTGTGTTTGTGTGTGTGAAGTGCTGTAGTCCGTCTACTGTTTACTGGAACTGCTGATACACACTCGTTCATCTTTCGTCATCATAAGACAGATCAATGTCATGTTCAGGGTTTAACCTGTAAGAGTAAAACGCTCGCGTGGATAAACTGGAGAATACATTCATTTTGAGGGCACGACCTTTGGCATTTATTTCTCTGGTAAATGGTTTGATCGAGTTCTGCACATAGGTTTATTAAACTGGAGTCTTTCTCTTAGCAGTCTTCGCAAATATCCCCAACAGATCTTGTTCAACAAGTGGACCTTTAAGACTGAGTCAGTGACCTCAGAGTTTTGCAATATGACTTACCTGAATGAGGGTAGAGATCACTGTTTAAAGCCATAGCTCTGACTGCATCCGCACGAAATCCTGAGAAATGTTCTTCCAGATTATAGTAGATTAAAACCTATGTATGTGTTTATGTAATGTGTGTTAACTCCACCACATCTGAAAGAGCTTGAGAACGTCCTGTGTTTTTTCCCACCCCCCAGAGTTTTTGAAGCCAAATTTCCAATTGTTGAGATTTTTGTGGACTGATTTTGAGGACCCTGCAAGCCGACAGATTGTGCTGAAAGGCTTCACGGGTGCTTGTGCGAGTATACGGTTTCACTTTGTTGGAAAAGCTGGATAAAGATCACTGGAAAAACAAAGAGACTTTGCGTTTTCTTTGTTTTGATGTTTTTTTATGAACAGTTTTTCTGTCATTTTTTATTGTGGATTGTTTTACTGTAATAATAGAGATTGTATTGGTGAGATCCATTTGGTCAAATTGTGTATATTGCGTTTTGACTGTAGAGATGTTTATTCTGGTTATCTCTGAACTTACACCATTAAATTCTTTAATACTGTTTCTGTTTTAGTGTGTTTTTCTGTTTATGATCACATTTTGCTATCTAAAGTTCTGAAAGGCCCACAGAAGAAAAGCAAAACACAACCCTGGCCTGCAAGACAAAATTGTCAATATTTGGATGAAAACATTTCCAAAAAGTGTGTTTTGGGTCACAATTGTAATATGGACAAACTATATGTACTCTACTTATAAAGAAATTAATGGATCTATCAGACTGAAACTGTAGCGCCTCATTGCAGTACATGAGGGTTGGAGATGGATAGGATTAGGGGTGGGGTTAGGATCAGGGGGCGGAGATGAGTAGGATTAGGGGTGGGGTTAGGATCAGGGGGCGGAGATGAGTAGGATTAGGGGTGGGGTTAGGATCAGGGGGCGGAGATGTGTGGGATTAGGGGTGGGTTAGGATCAGGGGGCGGAGATGAGTAGGATTAGGGGTGGGGGTTAGGATCAGGGGGCGGAGATGAGTAGGATTAGGGGTGGGGTTAGGATCAGGGGGCGGAGATGTGTGGGATTAGGGGTGGGGTTAGGATCAGGGGGCGGAGATGAGTAGGATTAGGGGTGGGGTTAGGGATCAGGGGGGTTTAGGTATATGTAAGGTGGGAGGAGTTGGATCTGGATCCAGGGTTAGGATCCAACTCCTCCCCCTGGATTTCATGTTCTGCAGTGAGGACCACCTCGAATGTAAAGCCATTATGCAAACGCCTCAATCAATCCGAGCTCGATCCCAATGGAAACCGGTGAATCTGACTCAATTGGATTAACACGCAGTGTTGTGATGCGTATGTTTACATGCGGTCATACGAACGCGTGTGTGTTTATTTGTTTTATGAACTGCTCAGTGGATTAGACTAAATATTTTCTGATAAAGTTCTTCTGACACAGATGTGCACTGCACATGTGTTAAAGTTTTGTTCAGAATGCATTTAAAGCACGTGTAAACGGAACTTTCAGAATACGAAATCCAAGACAAATGTGTGGAAACATTTAAGGAACGTGTGTGTGTGTGTGTGTAATTTGGTATGATGGGTACAGCATTTATTTGACATTCCTGTGTGTGCATCTGTGTGCTGGTTTTGTGTCTCATGAGTGTGGAAAAAATGCAGCTATGATTTGGAATTTCCTCTCTAGAAATCCCACACACACACACACACACACACACACAGTACTCTGTTACAGCTCATAAACAGATAGAGGTAGAAATGCATTCCTCCTATACACACAAAGTCTAATATCTGCATGTAAGTTGTTTGGCACGTGTGTTAATTCGGTTCACTGTTTCTTTCATGAGGTGTGTGTACTTTTATATAAGAGATGTTCCATGGGACGGGAGTTGGGAAAAGGAGGAATGTTTACTCTGGAATCCCTCCATTCCCTGAAACCACAGCGATTATTCCTCTAAGAATAGATCCAAAGCGACTTATGCGGATCACACTCCTCGTTTGTTTGGTACATGTATCACTATTAATATTGCTCGGGGTTTGTTCACATATGAGCAGTGATGATTAGTGAATTGTAGTTGAGTGTGTTTGACTCTAAAGATGGCTTGAGATGATTTCAGCTGCAGATCTTAAAACAAATACATGCCTTTCTTTGTGCTGTCAGATGAAAGTGTGTGTTTTCATGTCACTCCTTTATGGCGGGTTTCTATTAAAGCTTGACCTCTGACCCAGTGGGAGTTCATAAAATACATTCTTACACCCTAACATCACAATGGCAGGTTTTGCATCAGCGTTGAACATATTTATAAGTAAAACTGTTCAAAAATGTTTTCGTCTATTGATATAAAGCTGGAATAAATATAAATATTATACGAAAAACATTTAAATTTTGCTCTTAGTTCATGTTAACTAATGTAGTTAAAGCTTAAAAAAATGCATGAAAAAAAGCTAAATTTAAATAAAGACTGAATACAAATAAAAGCTAATTCAAAATATGAATAAATGCTATATTAAAATAAAAATTAAAACACTTCATTCAGAAGATTTAAAGTAAAGTGAAAGACAGGATGAGAAACATGATGGACTCATTAGAGCTCTTAAAAAGATAAAAGCTGCTCACAGATCCTTTGTTCATGTGTGTGTGTGTGTGTGTGATGACATTTGCTTCCATTTAAACTGTTTGTTTAATCATAAAGGCGTAGAACTCTTTGTTCTTGTGTTTCTCATTCCAGATCCTTTTCAGAAAGTCTTAATGTCCGGACTCCTCCATTTCTCCTCTCCTTTGCCTTATTATGGTTGTGTGTGTTCTTCAGGAGCATTGATGAAGCTCTGGAGCGGCCAGCCAATCAGAAGGCAGGAGCTGAGTTCTCAGGCTGCTGATTGGCTGGCTCAGTGTCGCTGTGGTCTCCAGGTATCAGAGGGATTGTGGGAGAGTATGTGTCTGCTGTATTCGACATCCACCCTTCCTTCAGTGTCCAGAAACAGTCTTCATTTAGACTTTAGCCGTCAATTTGGATTAAACCATGCAATATCATCTCTGCAATTTACTAAGAGATGCCAGAACCATTTCAAACTGCTTTTAATGTTTAACACAAAATAAAGTGTTTTATTTTTTTGAGTCTGCCTATCCAGAGAGAGAGAGAGAGAACAGGAGATAGAAATAAGAGTTATTAAATAAAAGACAAGTTGATGATGAAGAAAGTGTTTCCAAAATCTATGGCAACCCGTTGTAACATTTAATCCTTAGACAAATTATGCTTGTTGCTATTTTTCGAAGCAGAAATGTAAGTTTAAAAAGTACCAATTAGGTTATTTGGTCTATAAAGTTACTTGTACTACACTCTAAATAATGCTGGGTTGTTTCAACCCAAATTTGGGTCAAATATGAACAAACCCAAATGTTGGGTTAAAATGTCATTTAAAATGTTAACCCAACTTCAACTTTTGCTTTCAACTGTACATTTTTTTAATTACATTTTTAACCCAACATTTGGTTTTGACCATATTAGTGGTGTGTGATTTTGCTCTGACTGATGGCCATTATTACATTATCAAGTGTTTAACATCATCCGCTCCGGATCTTCTCCTTCCATCAGTGTGTGGGATGATGAGAGAGAAAGAGAGATAACCTGAACCACTGACCCTTCAGAAAGAAAGAGAGCATCTCTCTCATTAGTTAGTTGTCCTCAATGTTGACCTTTCTTTCTTTCACAGGAATTAACTGTGGGATAGGACTCGGTTTTCTGCAGGATTACGGGATGAAGTTTGAATTCATGAAACGGGTAAGTCTATTTTATTTTTATATTATTTTTTTTTTTAAATAAGTAGGTAATACTTTAATTAAGCGAAGATGCAGGACATTAATGTATGTAAAGTGACAGAAAATAGTTACTTTTAATAACAACATATTGATATTTCAAAATGTCTGTATATTCATCAAAAATAATATAATAATCAGAAATGTTTCTTGAGCATCAGATCATCATATTAGAGTCATTTCTGAAGGATCATGTGACACTGAACACTGGAGTAATGATGCTGAAAGTTCAGCTTTGAATTTTGAATTTTAATTTTGGTTGAATTTTAAGAATAAAATACACTTTAGGCTATTATACATATATTCACATGAAGAGTTGAGATGCAAAAGCCTCTAAGTGCCATTTGAAATTTTCTTCTAGAATGATCATTTTTATCAAGCTTGTAATAATAATAATAATAATTACCTATTAATTGTTATTTAAGTGAAATTACTGAACTTAAATATACTGGTTTGATAAAAATCATCATTAAAGAAGAAAATTTCTAATGGCATTTAGAGGCTTTTGCATCTGAACTCTTCACATAGAAAACAGGTTTTCAGTTGTAATAATGTTTTACAGTATTACAGTTTTGATGAGCAAAAGAGACTTTAAAAAAAAAAAAAAGACAAGTTACCGACCCCAAACTTGTAGATTGTAAATGCATCAGCTTTTCACATTGAATGTCATGTCCTCTTGTCCAAGAGTGTGTGTGTGTGTGTGTGTTCTGGTAAACCTTACATTATGAGGACAAAATGTCCCCTGGCAATATCTGAAATCTTTGTCCTTTTGGGGACATTTTTTTGTAAAACGGCTTATAAATTATACAGAATACATTTTTTGAAAATGTAAAAATGCAGAAAGGTGTGTGTGATGGGTTTCTATGGGAGTCGGGTTAGTGTAAGGGGAGAGAATATACAGTTTATACTGTATAAAAAAAATATTGTCTGGAAATTCCCCCATAAAACATGGAAACCCAACCCGTTTGGTGTGTGTGTGTGTGTGTTGCCCTTCAGGCTCTGTCTGTCAGCTGATCTGACCATCGTGAACCACAGTTGTGTGTATGTGTGAGACGGTGATTAGTAGTAACTGTGTCTCTTTATGTCCATGATGGTCCGACTGCAGAGGTCAAGCGCTCGAGGACATGAAGTGTCATGTGACGAAGCGTTAAACTGACTGATAAAGACACACTGTTTCTTCTGTCCTAAAAGTGTCTGAAAGAATTCTATTCACACTCAGACATGAACTCATTCATTCTCAAATGAAGTTAACTCTGTTTCATGTCCCAGACCTTTGAACAGACTTGGGCTCCACAAGTTGTTTCAACAAATGTCCTATGTGGATTGCAGAGATTGAGTCATGATCATTATTTGATCAGTATTTCCCTCTGATATGAGCCGTTTAGAGGAGCGTTGCTACACTGACTTCCTTCAGGTATTACACACTTCTGCTCAAGACTTTTGGTGACCAAGGGTGAAAATTCTGTAATAATTACATCATCTCTCCTCCAGAAACACAAAAAACGTTTTAGATCAGTGTGAATCTCTGTTCGTAGTCATGAGTGCACTCTTAGAAGAAAAGGTTCTATATGGAACCTTAAAAGGTTCTATTTGGAACCCCTAAAGGTTCTATACACTCTTAAAAAAAGGGTTCCTCTGGGTTCTATATAGAACCCTGGGGTTCCATACTTGGCCAATAGAACCTTTTACCCAAAAAAAAAAAAAATGGTTCTATATAGAACCATTTTGGATTTTCATATATGAA